GGGTGGCAGATGGCCACGTACCGGTCGTAGGCCATAACGGTGCAGAGCAGGCACTCGGTGCTGCCCAGGAAGTGGTAGAAGAAGACCTGGGACATGCACCCGCCCAGTGAGATGACCCTGCTCTGAGCCCAGAGGTTGGCCAGCAATTTAGGGGTGCTGATAGAAGAGAATCCAAGGTCCACAATAGAGAGATTGCAGAGGAAGAAATACATGGGGGTGTGCAGACGGGCGTCAGCGACGATGGCTGAGAAGATGAGCAGGTTGCCCAGCAGAGTGCAGAGGTAGAAGGCTAAGAAGGTGACGAAGAGGATGGTCTGGAGACCATCGGTGTTGGGGATTTCTAAGAGGATGAAATGAGTCACCACAGTGTGGCTGACCCGCCCCACGAGGGACTCATTCCTGCGGATGGGGACAGAAATAATGCCAGTGAGTTACTGAAACGAAAAGACCCGTCAGCCTAGAGCTGCAATGCTCACCCTTCCTTCTACTGCCCCCATGACTCACTGTCAGTAGGAGTGATGTATATTTCTATCAGTGTAATGCCAGCTGGGTTCAGGGTCTCAATGTGCTGGCGCTGAATATAGAGAGAAAAAATGTCTGCCTTGAAGATCCTACAGTCCAGAGACGAACAAAGGGAACGTCTATTCTATTCTGTTCTAGTCCAGTTTCTTCTCTTCTCTCCTGTCCTATTCCAATGTCTTCAATTCTATTCTATCTAGGCCCTTGCCCCACCCTTATCACCACAGTACCACGGAGCCTTCTGTTTGTGGCTAAAATTTCTCATGTGGTTTCTTCTTTCTCTCTCTCACCCTCTCCACAGAGGTATTACCCTGTGTGCAGTGCAGCGCTTTCTTTTGGAAGGCCTTCGCTGTTATAAATACTAGGGCTGCTAATGTTTCTGTTAAGGAAGAGGAGGAGGATGGAAATTACAAACCAATGAATGTGGGGAAGAATTGCCCCAGCTTTGTTAATGATGTGAATTGTTTGAGGTTTTTTCCTGGGGTTAGAGAGAGAAGGAAAAGGAAAGAAGGAGAAGGGGAATAGCCACAGCCAGAGGTGCTGGAAATTGGGAGGCTGGGGGGCGGCTGCACCCCCTGGCTTGACGTGTTTTCCATCATTTCCAGGGTTCACAGTTTGGTTCAACGGCTCTCAGCACCCCCATTACACAAATTGTTCCAGCGCCCCTGGCTGCATCTTGTCATCTGCTCGGCCGTGATCAGCAGGCTGGGCTCTGTGGATAACCTGCCACAGGGGTTTTTAAGGTGAGATTTGAAGGACAATAATGAAGTATCTGTTTGCATTTGGCCGGGGAGTTTTTTCCATGCAGGAGAGGCTGGGCTGAAGGGGAGATGCTGGCAGGTTGGGGCTGTAACACATGGAGAGAGGGAGATAAAGGAT